GCCTAGTCCCAGGATTTCCCCTCCTAGTATTATCCCCAATCTCTCTCTGCCCTGCTGTCCCTCATACCTAGGTTCCATTCCCACCCCTTGCACCTTCCTGTCTGAACCCCTCCTTTGTTCCCTGAAGGGTTCCAGGCCTGCGCTCTCAACAAGAGCTTTTTGAGGAGGGGTTGACATCGTTAGCTGTAGGGATGTAGAGATCCCACTAGCAGAAATCCACTGTTCCCATGGAGCTCTAGTCCTCTGGGGAGCCAGGAGCACCATGAGAACTAGGGTCAGGTCTGATTGGAATCCTGCCCTCGTATTTCTGGCTTACCTGGCCATCAGCCTCCTCACGTTTAAAGCACAACTGTTAATACCTTCTCAGAGTTGCTGTGTAATGAGGCAGGGAGGTGAAGTTTCTAGAATGCTGTTTAGTACTCCTTACTGATAAAATAACACGTTCAAGCCTGCGGTTGCCTTGGGCCAGGGAAGTGGCTGGATGGAGGCAGCTTTAGGTTATGGGGACCACATTGAATCAATATCTAACCTCATCGGTTTTTATCAGTAAACATCAGTTTACGTGTAGCGTGCCTGACTTGTACGTGTAGCTTTATGACTTGCTTGAACTTCAGTTTTTCTATTAACACAACGGGTTAATAACACTCTACAGTACTCTTGCAAGAATTCAATAAAACTTCTACCTCTTGGCATCTCCAGAGTGCCGTGGAAAGCATCCAGACCCTTATCTAGGGTCCATGTCCTGTAAATACCACTCAATTCTGAACGTCAAGGCCCTGCCAGCCAGCAGAGGACAGGCTTTGTACCACCTCGACACTCAGAGGACCATCTGCACAGCCAGCTTGCATTCTCGCTGACTCCATGTTCGGGAGCAGGCCGTTTGTGTGCCTTCCTTTCTCCTAGCCGGGCGTTTGTGAGAGGCTGAATCCTATCAGGGGCAGCAGCCAGAGCCTGGAAAAGCAGAGTAAGGTGTTCCTGGGTGTACCCCATTTTCGTGAGTTCAGCATTTTCCTCTGCCGTGAGGGCACGAGAGTTTCAAGTGGAGTTGTTTTGTCAGGAGATTGCCCTGACCAGGTGGATGTGCCAGGTGACCCACACATACTGAGTCATTAACCCATGCCTTGCCAGCCTGCAGAATCCCTTGAAGTTTTCCTGGGACAGTGTGGGCACGGCCTCACTTGCAGGCAGAAGTGGCGCCTTTGGTTGCGTGAGTTGGGAGGACTTGGCAATGGAGTTCAGAAGGGGGAAAGAAGGTCCCTGGGGTTCTGCATAGAAAGGATGTAGCTGCCAGTAGGGTCAGTGGCCCAGGCAGGCAATGTCTCAGGCTCTATTCTGGCACCCTTAGCCAAGGCACTTATTTCTATATACTTGACTCCCATGCTGTCTGCCAGCCTCCACCAGGGTGAGTTCTGGGTTTAAACCAGAGGCACCTACAGTGTGCTCATGACCTTCGGTTTTCAGTGCTTTAGGGTTCAAAGTCAGCTTAAACAGCCACCAGTGGGATGACCAGCATGAATGTCTGTTTACCCTGTGTGTGCAGCACCCATGGAAGTCAGAAGAGGGCATCGACTCCTCTGGAACTGGAGTTACAGGTTGGTTGTTAATAGCCAGGTGGGTGCTGGGAACTGAACTCAGGTTCTCTGCAAAAGCAGCCAGTGCTTTCAACCACTGAGCCATTTCTTCAGCCCTTCATGGTTGTGTTTTAAAGCAAGTGTTCAGTGGGAAGACTAAGAGAATCAGACATAGAAGCTATGCTATAGGAGCACAAGACACATTAGGAGAGGATGTTGGAGCTAGGCTCAGGATTTTTCACAAGGAAGTGCCTGTCCGGGTATGTGGTAGGCAGTAAGCCAGCCAACACCATTTCCGTACCTCAGTTTTCTCATTTGTAAAATGAAATTAATGCTCCTTAAGGATAGATTCGTGTATTTTTCCAAATCTATCTTTCAAGTTTTCAGATAGGACATATGAGAGAATGCTAGGGTGGGGTGGATCCTGGGGAGATGCCTCAGTGGCTGGAGCACCTGCCACACTGAGTGTGAAGAGTGGGAGTTGGATTCTCTGAGCCCACATAAAAGCTCCCAAGTGTGGGGGTCACCTTTAATCACAGAATTTGGGGAGGCAGAAACTGGAAATTATCGGGGCAAGGCGGCCAGCTAAACTACCTGGAAATAATAGGCTGAAGGTTCAGTAGAGTCTTAGGGAGCAAAGGGGAGGACAATCGAGGAAGACAACCATCATTATCTTTGGGCCTCCACATGCACACAAACACACATGCACATACATATACACACATGTGCACATACATACATGTAAATGTATTCACATGTATACCATGTATACGTGCATGTAGAAAAACTGGTAACAAAAGAATGCTTTTCCAACCATCTAGCTACTAATACATAGATTCTATACTTTAGAAGTATTTAGTTATGGGGGTGTGTGTGCAGGGATGCTTACACATAATCCAAAAGAAAGCTCCAGATCTTTTAGATCCATGCACTTGTGAGGTCCTTGGTGTGGGTGATAGGAATTGAACTGTGGTCCTCTGTTGCAGCATAAGTGCACTAAACCACCGAGCCATCTTTCCAGCCCTGATTGGCTCTACACTGCCTCTGCACTTAACTATTAGGGCGCCCATTCACTCACTTACGCCACCCTCGGTGAGCGTCTCTCCCCAGCTGTCTTTGAAGAGAGCTCTCTGAAGATGCAGGGAATGTATGTTAAGGGCGGGTGTAGTGATTGCCTTGAGTTTTACTGTGGTCAGCAAAGAACATGGTAGTTGTTCAAATCCTGGTGTCCTGTGGCCACAAATACAAGCTTGCTACTGTCCCACTGTGCAGCCTGTCAGTAACATGGCCAGCGCGATGCTCAGAGATGTTGAAGGAGGTGAGGCGGAAAGGTGATTGCTGCTTGGATATCCAGCTAGATGGCAGAAGTGTTTCCCCATCTTTTAAGTCCCATAAACGAAGAGAAGGCAAGACACTGTGAGCTGCGTGTTGCCTTCTTTCAACTTGAACTGAGCAGAACAGTAGCTACCTATGAACTTGTGTCTGCTGTCTAACCCAGGAAAGTCCCAAATGTCACAGGATCTCATCAAAGATTATACCCTTCATAGAAGAGACTAAGGTCTATTGTGTTACAATTATAATTATCCTGGCCTGCCCTGTCACCTGGGTACCCTGTCCCTTTAGGAGACAGGCTCTGTCCACTCCCAATCTCCCCCTTCCCACCAAAGCAAGCTGATCTTGGCTCTCCCCTTTCTCTCCGCTGTTTTTCTAAAGAGGCAGCTCCCTGCCTCGCTCCTCCCTCCTCTTTCCTCTTCCTTTTTTTCTGTCTCTCTGTCTCTCTCTGTCTCTTTCAACCTCTTCCCCCCATGCCCTTCCAATACCCATGAAATAAACTCTCCATACCCAAGTTCTCACTGCATGGCCTGTCGGTCTGTCCCTTACCCTCTGTGGTCCTCTACTCGCGATAGGATCTGCCAGGGTCACTCACGCCATAAATCATAACATAGTGGCTTGTCACACAACCGCAAGAGACTGAACTCTTTTGTACAGCCACACACTCTGTGCTAACATCAGATCTTCCCTTCTCCTCCAGTCCCTCCCAGGACACGAGAGTTCCTAAAGACTTCCACTGGGGCAGGACGGGGGGGTTAGAAAGGGCCTCTCCATGACAAGGTGGATTGCTTAGAGGCCTGTTTCCTGGAAAGCACAGGCAGCAAAGGCTGTGCCTGCGCTTGTGCTGTGAGACAGCGGAGGGAGTTGGCTCTCTGTGTATGCAATGCCCATGCTGGTTTTGCGTTCCCGAGACCCGATGCTACAGGATTCTTCAAGGGCTCCGGAGCTTCTTGTGCCATCAAATTAGGTTTGAAAACTTCAATAAAAAGAAGTCCCCAAGGAAACTGTCAATTAATGCATTTACACCGTAGCATCATACTTGGGCAGAACATCTTCAAACACTAATGCTGTTTGCCAGCCATTAAAGAAGTGAGCAGGCTCCTTGGTTTCCATAGATACCTGAAGTAATGGCCTCTTTCCTCTCGTTAAAGTGTGAAAGTTGTTCAGTTTCTTTCTTTTCTTTTCTTTTTTTCTTTCGCTTTGTCTTTCTTAACTTTCCTACTCTATCCCCATTTGTAAAAATAAGAGATAACTAAATTGAAACCTGGCAGTGTCATTTGTCTGAGGCAGATAGCTTGATTTATAAACTCGGGGATTTCATTCCTGCTCACCTCATTATTCCATGACTTCCTCCAAGAGTGTTGATACTTCCAGGAACCAGATTAGAGAAATTTTCAGTTGATCAAATATTTCCCTAGTCCATTCAAAATGTATATACACATACTCAGAAGGAACTCTGAATGCTCTGTTGAAGAGAAACAGTTGTGATAACCTATGGGGCAGAGGTTGACAAATTGTTGCCTGGAGGCTAAATCTGGCCCATTGATTGACTGTATAAATAAAGTTTTATTGGCACACAGTCATGTTCATCTCTGTGCATATTGTTTATGACTCCTTTTGCGGAAACAGTGCTAAGCTTGAATTTTTGCAACAGAAACTGTAGGGCCCACAGAGCCTAAATTAGTTCAAAGATTTTAAGTATGCAAGGAAGAAGAAAATCAGAGTTTTGGTGGAATTCAATCATTTTTCCCTTTTAGACAAGTACCCAGTCTTAATGTGACTTAGGTTCAACACCTTTTAAACGGGTATAACAGGACCCTCTTATATGATATTGAGAGTGTGCTTGGCATCTAAGATGTAAACAAGAATTATCGTTACATGATTTGGGGGTGGGTGGGCACAAATGAAGACAATCAATGAAGCCTACCTGTGGCTCTAGAATTGTTTTCCCACACCCAAGAAAAGCGTGTGGAAACGCGTCGCAAAGAACTCAGCTATGTTTTTGGGGTCTGTTCTCAGTAGTTCCTTCCCGTAAGCTGAGAAGCCCTGCTGGAATCCATTCATGGTGGAGAAAGCAAACAAAAGACACCACGCCAGTCTAGGAAGAAAACTTTAATTTCTGTTGAGCTTTAAAGAGTCTGAGAGAGTTTTCCCCTTTCCCCCTTTTAACAAACCAGTTCAAGAACATGCCTTCAGATTATAAAAGTACCTGAAATCGCCTAGAATATCAACATGCATAGTGTGTTGGTATTTACATATATTTACATACAGAAGCAAGAGAAAGATCTACAGTTATTTACAGTCTACATAGGAGAAAAGAAAGGCAGCCTAATTGTATTTCCTAAAATACAGTAGCTGAGTAGTTAGCACATGCATATTTAGATAATATTTGCATGATAGAATGCAATTTTTAAATTTTTTTTGTTTGTTTTGTTTCTGGTGTATTCACATCAAGTGCTTCAAACCGCTCTCTAACCCAGGCAGGATTATTTACCCTGGCAATTAAAGCAACAGTACACATGATTGTTTCCCACTAACTAGCAACAAGCTGCAGGTGAGTGAAATATCTATCGTTTCTCATCAGCCCCTGGACCACTGAGAAGAGATCTCTCCGTGTAAAGGCGGTGCCTGAGTGATCACCATTCATTATGGAAGTAGTAACAAACGAAATGCTCGCCACAGTATGTTCTGAATGACATATTAGCAAGGCTGACATCTTCAAGCCAGAGAAATGATCTGTCCCAAGAAGTTCTCAAAGAAAAAACATGCACAGCTAAATGAGGATGGGCCTTGTTTGACATGGCAGGGCTGGCCATGGGGGCTGGGAGGTGCCAATGAGTGCTGAATCAGGGCAAGATGCACCTTCTTAATTCATGTTGGGATAACAGAGTAAAGAGTTCATTTCTTACCTTGATATGGTCATATCAGAGATCCTGTGTTTCCCATCTCCAACCCTAGTATTTTTATTTCTTTTTGTACGATTTGCCAGTGGCATAGGTATGTAGAGACTGTCGGCGGCTTCAACAATCTAAACAGCTTGTTTGAGGTGTGCCCTGAAATCCCGCCTGCTCTCCACAGTAAAGGTATTTTTTATTATTATTTTATTTATTTTACTTTGAAGAGATAAAAAGACAGGCAAGAGGAATGAAGCTTTTCTGTGCAGAAGAAAAGGGAGAAACTCTGTGTTTCACGTATACTAGGAAGACATCTTTTTTACCATCTATGAGAACCAAACCCATTAATTCTGCCTGGCCATCATTTTAAAGATTTATTTCAGTATACATGGTAAATACAGAAGCATACATGTATATACAGTATATATAGATATATATATGAGTGGCTATAACCAAGGTTAAAGAAGTAAAATGTAATATGTTTCAAATTAACACCAGCAGATGTCTTCTTTGATCTCTTATGAACCCTCAGTGGTTCTTCAGCCCTGACATTGAGATGGACCAGTTGGAAAATTACAGTGGTAGGCCTAATTATGCTCTAAGTAAGATGCTTATTTCAATGGCAAAATTCTATGGCTCTTCTGTTGGACCGTATCAAAGTAACTCATGAAAGAATGTATCCCTCAGTTCAAATTTCCACCCCACAAGACAAATCTCTATCTGCAAAAGAACTATAGGTTGAGCTGAGTTGAGCAATGCCCATATTCTGGGCAACTCAATGGGGAATACCCAGGGATGTCTTTCATGAATATGTAAACCCTAATCCACTAGATCTTCCCTTCTCTCCAATGAGAATTGCTTAAGAGCAATGTGGACAGACACAAATGGAATGTGGAATGAGTGTGCTTCAGGACAACCAAGCAGATTACCCTTGAGCCATGCCTTTCCCCTCTTAGAAGCACCCTCCACCTCCTTTCCCACCAAATCGCACCTATAGGGCCTCCCAAGGTATAATAACAGATCTCAGACAGTGACATGATTCTAAATATCATATTGCTAGTCCTATAAGATCACACATAATTCTGTCATGGAACCAATGGGCTGTCTATTACAAAAATCCGCAGACGTGAGGAAAATAGAAAAAGGACTTTATTTTAAGAGAAAGTCTAGAGTAACCCTTGCTGTGAGCGTAGAGCCACAATAGCTTACGGAGGTCACTCTGCCTTCCAACCCTCCTGATTTGAAAAAAAAAAAGTCTTCTTCTGGCCTTACCTTCTCAACCAAACATGCTTTTGGACACCTTGGAATGGTTGGGGTTGGCTAGCTAATCCTTCCTTAGACTTAAGATTTTAGGAATGGCAACTACATTCTTCTGTTTTTAAAGAATTCCATCCAACTTTCTGTCTAGAACCCAGGGTTTCTGGGACTTCCTATGGCACAGTAAATGAGCAACACTATGCTAGGGTCTTTCCCATCCATTCTACCTTGGTCTTCAAACCAGCACCTCAGAACTCCGCAGGGACATTTCCAGACAACTGTGTCTTTTGTCAGAGACTGACATTGGGCGCTGTCTTACTTCGGATTCCTTCAGTGCAGCAGGAAATGCATCAGGTCATCTCAGAGACTCTCTCTCAGGGTATGGCTGCCATTTGAGAGCTTCACGTCGCTCAAGAGGAGTTTTGCAATTTGGGTGTCATCTGTGTTTGGCCTAATGATGTTTAGTGTGATGGGTTGGCATATTTCACTATCTGCCTATCCCTCGGTTACTGCAGTCAAGCTTGTCCTCACACCTGAGAATACACACTTTACCTTCATGGGCGAGTCACCAGGAAAAGAACCTAAGATCTTTCACAGCTGTGAGCCTGTATTTAGCAAAGGGATTTGCTACGGTAACACTAAGTTCTGGAACACACTGTCAAAGCCACGGTGACAGCTGAACACATTCCCTTCTGCAGGGTGAAGGGGTTTGTGTGTTCTCTGTATGACTTTTCTGAAACATTTTTTTCCTCACGCTGGTAGAGCCTGTACACAAATATCCAGGCTCCAGTCTCTAGAGTTTCTATCTCCTCCCCTGCAATGCAGGCTTTTTGTAAGGAAGCCTTAAGAACAACCTGTGCATTAGCAGAACTCCCAAGAGCGACGAAGAAGTTTACATCTCAGCGCCTAAACGAAACATTTGCATGGATCCGAGCCTGTACTGTTCAAGGCCTTCGTAGGAACCAATTGTCGGGAATTTGTAGGAGTTAATATGCTAGGGATTTATTGGGGGTTGGAGGGAAGGAGGTGGTTGTTTTGCTTTGCAAGTCTAATGGAGCCTGTCAGCACCTGCGCCTACTGAAGGCCACACTGCGCCTATGGGAGTTTGTAAAACAGGGGTGGCTCTGGAAATGAACTGAAAGTGCTTTACCTTTCTGGCTGAGTCGATGCAGACTTTAGCACATGAGTGTTGTTGTGCTATGGGCAGGATGGAGAGGACATGCAGAGAGCCATTTATTCTACTGGTTTTGATGTTCCTGCTTTGAAAACGTCTATGTCAAAGGGTACGTTCCTTAGCTTGGCAGATCTGGTGCCCAGAGGTAGCATTTTGAGTCAGTTGAGTCAGGTAACTTTTTTTTTTTTTTATGAAGGGTCATTTGCTATTGAATAGATGGATAGGGTGCTGAGTCTTCATTTTTTTTTTTGTTAATCCAAATGGATATAATTTCAATTTAGTTCGCTGACTAAATCAACAGTGGAAAAATCTCCTTTGATCAGTTTTCAGGTGCACATATGACAGCTTGTGTATTTAACTTAGGCCAAATCAGGGCCTCGTTCTGTAAGGAGGCATGACCTGGGGAAGAAGACAAAATAGCATGAGAAAGCCTAAGTCAGACGGGAGGCACCTAGAGAGAAATGGTCACCATGACCGTATTCCTGTCGCGTGTTTGGGACGGAGGTTTCCTATACTAACTCATGGATTCTGAATCAGTCCATTTGTGACTGTCCCTGAGACTTTGGACAAGCTGGATTTGATCTTTGAATAGAAGTGGGTCTCTGAACATGGAGATGCTGGTTGTTCCTGGCTCAGGGAACAGCATGGAGAGTAGAAGATGATGCTTAGGAAGCTGCCTGCAGGCACCTGGCGCATGCTCGCCATCAATCAATGCTAGGCCTCGCAGCTACTGGGCGAGTCACTGTTGGCTGGAACTCACGGGAGAACAGAGCTCTTTGTTCTCTTCTGCTGCCTCCTTCCATTGTGCTGAAACCCGGGAGGCTTATAAGCACTGACCCAACATTATAGATAGAATTCAGTTGTGTGGGTAGCAATGGAGGTGTTCTTTCGCTTTGGTCACTGGTCAGAGAGGTGCAAGGGTCTCATTCCTGTGCTAACTACTTTGCTTTATGAACAGACAGAATATTATGGAATATGAGGTCATTTGTTCGCTGACAGTCTAGTAAAGTAGGGACACAGCACCCCTTGGAACAGCTTGGTTTTGCCTCGTAAACCCGAGATGGAAATCATACTTGTTTGTGGAAACAGCTATGTCCCGAGCACCGAGATATTTGGTGATGAACTCCAGAATGCAATGCTGCATGTTTCTGAGAAGTCTTGCAACTCTTCTGCAGGAGCATTACTATTATTAGGAGAGGGGAAGGGTAGTGAGATGCTTGTCTCTGCTCCGGCTCTGTGACTAATTGTTCCACTCAGTGTGATCTATCTATTGCACCGCTGCATATTTGGGAAGGATATTCTCTGCCTAGGAGACCCCAGATGAGTAGCAATGAAAGCTTTGGGGGTCTGAAGATGCTCCTGCCTTTCCTCTTTGCCCAACACGCTCACTGTGCTGTGCCACTTTTAACCCATCTCGGCAGTCGGTCACTACCTGCCTTCCTTCCCTGCCCTTGAGGCTCCAGGCCTAATCTATCTTGCGTGGCGTGTTCCCATTTCTGAATCTATTTTTTTGCATAAATTGATTAAATCAGCATTTGCTGTGCAATATCTTGGTGTGGATATGTCTGTAATAAAGCAATCTTCCAACATCTACCGCTCTTTCACGTCTTTGAATATAGATGGGCCATGATAGTGTGTGTATTTTAAAATGCGCTGTTGCATCTACTTTAAGACGGGAATCTATTCTTCCTTTTAAATAAGCATGCATGTTAAGGTAGAGTCACCCGAAAGCTAAATTAATTGTGTAACATGTGTTCTTATCAGAACATGAGTATCCTATCACAGCACTAAGTAATGCATCGCAGATATCAATATGTGGTTTTGTTTGGTTGTTTCAAACCATGTGTTGTTTATCAGAAACCTCTGTACCTTCTTCTTCAAAGGACTCAATATTCATTTGTAACTAGTGCTGACGGCTACAAATTGCTGGCCAGCGGTTATCAAATAAATGTTGGTGGAAGGCAGATACTTAACGTTTTCATCCCAACAAAGGATTTTGGAAGGCCAGCTCCTTTGAATCTCAGGGGCTCAACTCCCAACAATCACCCATAAGCATCCTAGCTTTCTGAGGTGGAAGATGGGATTGCAAACCTGGAAGATGATTTCTTGGAGAAAACGATGAACCTCTATTAGCAAGATGTTCTCTGCCTAACTTACAAACAAGAACCCTGGACGGTTTTACATACACAGTAATGGCTGAGGTCACAGGTGAACTCTGGTCACTGCAAATGTTTGATTAGAACCCAGATGGAATAAGGGTATGGTTAAAAATTCTACTGGGCTTGCCAGAAACTCTCCGTCCTGGGTCGTCAACTCATTAGTCCAATGGCATCGAGGTGGCTGGAGGTGTTATTTCCCCAGCTTCTTGTGATGAGGGATCTACACAACCTGACAAATTGTTCTGAAGGAAACAAACAAGAACCATCTGGGAGAGAACCACAGTTCCAGCCAGCACTCTCATGTCAAGGGGTTATTACTTTATCACCATGAACTAGTAAAACAATGTTGACAAATGGCAAGTCATACCTTCAAATATTCCGCCAGCGTTAACCTTGTTTTCTTTATATGCCTGTTTCATCTCCTCCGACTTAGGTACTGATGTCCCCAAAGTGGCACGAAAATCATTTGATGGTGATTAAAGTGCTCAAAAATAAAAACAAAACAACCCTTTCTTATCAGTTTGAAAGTGTTTCATCTCCTACCAGTGGTACAAGCTTGTTTACTAATGAGACCTCACTAATGCGGCAGTGTCTCAGGCTGATGGGAGGCAGACTGGGAAGCTGACGAGCCCTAAGTGGGAACTTGTTGTTTATAATGTCGCCACATCGAATGCTATAAAGATATCACTCCAAGGTTGTCATTGGAACAGCTGAGAAGAAAATTCTCCAAAAAGCCCGTGAGGCAGTGGGCATGGGACCAACAAGATATTGTCAGCACTCAATTGTCTGTCCTGAAAAGAAGATAAAGCAAGAGCCGGCGGCAGCACGCATGGCTCGGGCAGGGAGACTTTGCCAAAAAGACACAGTCGGTCTTTGGGGTAGCAAAGGCGGCTTTTGTACCCTGTTCTGTGTTCTTTTATAAAGCTGGGGGCACAGGCAGTAGAGTTTGTGTTGTAAACTACCCTAAGTCCAATGGCAAGGAATGGATGTGAGCGTGTGTGGATCACTGGGCTTTTAAAGCTGCGTGCTTTTCAGCTCAGCCACCAAACACACACTTCCGTGAAAGCAGCCAAGCTGCCATCATTTGCAGATTCCACTGATGGAAGACACACCTCCTCTCCCATTGAGCTTGACCCTAGATTGGGGTGACTTTAGAATTCCTTCACCATTTCAGCAATGCAAGCACGCAGACCACACGACGTTCGAAGGACACAGGAGCAGTTTGCTGCATTAGGTTTGGAAGGACTCTGATGGCCAGTTTCCTGAGTGGCTTCCCTGGGTCCTGTCTCAGGATTGGACAGTCTGTTGTGAGATTAGAAGCGCTGTCTGAAAGGGGAATCACCTAGGGCTGGGGGAAGAGGAGAAGGGGAGGATTTGGAGGTGAAGGGACTAGATTCTCTCAGCCACTACTTAGAAGTCTATGGCGAGTCACCTGATCATTCTTGGCTGGATTTGTCACCAACAAAATAAAATGAAAATCCAAGAGAAATGGTCCAAAGTTTATTCAAAGCTCTGTCTCCACCTGGACTCGGCAGGGAGCAGAGGGCAAGTTGCTGTTTGACTTGAGTGGTCATCCTTGTGTTCTGCTTAGGCGGCAGAGGCACTTTGGCTGCCCTCTTCCTCCTTAAAAGATGTGGAGGAATCCCACAACCCCCTGGCAGGGGTTTAGATAAACACACCTGGTGTTCAGCAAAAGGTGAAGACCATTAGCAAGTCAGTAAAAGGAGAGCAACTGAGAAAGGGATCTCTGAATCCAATGTAATCGCTGTTCATGGTGGGGAGTAGGGTGCTGGGGGAAGTATTTGAGGGACTTCAGGGAGTCACTAATCCTTTGCTATTTAATTAAAGCTCCAGTTACAGGCCAGATGTTCAAATCCTGGACCGGTGGAACCCAACCAGGGGGCTCAAGCAGCCAGATATGATCAAATATCAAATCTGATTCACACACTCCTCTCTGCCTCTCCCACGGCCAGGCCACAGAGCTGCATTTGACCAATGCATATATGATCACCAACCCTGACCCAGAAACCAGTCCCAAATAAAACCCAAACGGAATTTGGCTGAAATTGCAGTCCCTCGGGACTCTGGCTCCAACGGTTCTAGTCATGTATGGGGATGTTTGTCCATGGACACTCTGATCTAACACAATTTCAACCCTGTAGGGGCAGGAAAAAGTGGTTACATTTGCGTAGGGACAGGAAGCCATCTCTCTTGCCAGCAAACATCCCTAATGGTTTCCCTAAAGTATGACCTCTGTGGCAAGCGTCCGGTCCTTGTTTGTAACCCCGCTCCCCGTCAGCTGATAGCGAGTTGATGCATCAAGAGCTGTTCTCCACATAAATGATCACAGGACGGCAGATAAACGGCACTGCTTTTAAATTAGAGCCCTGCTCACCATGCCGCCTTCCGAACAGAGGCCTATTATTTTTAATTATGGCTTGCAAAGCAAAGTGAGCTCTTGCCCTCTTTATGGCATCTCTGGCAATATTCTGTCAGTTGGGATGACATGGTGCCCCATCAGTGAGCACGCCCCTAGCTACAGCCCCAACTGTGACTCCAGAGGAGACCAGAAAACGATCGCTGGTGTTCACAGAAACTTGAATTTGAAATGGGCTGAAGGATTCGTGCCTCCCACCTTAGGTCATATCTTGTTGTAAATCAGAACGAATATGACATTTAGAAAAGTGTTTTCTGGGTGAATAAACACATCACTGTAGGGATGTGCAAGACTGTGTGTGTGTGAGTGTGTGTGTGTGTGTGTGTGTGTGTGTATTAAACATCGCAACAGTGTTGTAAACCCACCCTACCCTCTAAGAGCATCCTGGGCAAAGAATACGGGCAATCTGTCACCAGCCTCACTTGAGACACCCATTTGATGGGGGCATCATCAAGAGTGGTTGGTTGCTTTTGGGAAGAAGGTTCTAGAAAGTTCTCAGTGTCAAATTACATTGCACATGAAGAAGTCAAAGGTTTGGATGGATCTGCTCTTGCCTGTTGGGAAGGACAGCATCTTTTTCTCTGTGCCAGAATGGCATCTGGCATGAGAGATTGAAATGTATCTTTATTTACCACGCCTTTTCCTCTACGATGTGTGAAAAGTCACACCAGCTTTACAAGCAGAGTTTACGGACTTGTTTGTCCAAAGTTATTGCATACCATACTTTGCAGTCCTGTGCTTAGTGCTGAGCCCTTTGCCACGCTGATGTCCAAGTGGAGAACGGCTCACTGATCTCTAGAGAGCCAGAATGGCATTGGCCTATCATTCCGTTTTTAAAAACAAGTGCTTCTCTTTCTTCTCTGTTTTTCAGCAACAGGGAGCTGCTACCACTGTCTACTGTGCTGTTGCGCCCGAGCTGGAAGGCCTCGGAGGGATGTATTTCAACAACTGCTGCCGTTGCCTGCCGTCTGAAGAGGCTCAGAGCGAAGAGACAGCCCGGGCCCTGTGGGAACTCAGCGAGAGGCTCATCCAGGACCGACTGGGCAGTCCATCCAGCTAATCAGAGCCCCATAATTTTGGGCAACCTCCCCACCCATGCTCTGACCCTCATAACTGCCAGCCCATCATCCAGGGGTGCCCCTCACCCTCCAGTGCAGAGCCATGAGAGTAAAAGAAATAAGAACAGCTATAACCAACGGGAAGGGTTGAGTGTCAGTGGGATGCAGGACCTTTCAAGGGATAACGTCCCTTTTGTAGGACAGGGTTAGTCATGGATCTGCTTGCTTTTCTGGTGGTGGCCTGCTTGAAACCGGAAGCATGGTTAACATGTAGGTTCCTTTGCTCATTGTAGAAACACAAGTGATTCTCTACTACCTTTGGAATAGCCTAATGTCCCCTTGGCCCACCCAGGCACCACCATGGCCACCACTGCCACACAATGCTGGCTTTCCCCTGTTGAGGGAAGAAAAAGAACATGTTCACCTCTCCATGCTGAGCTCAGTCCTGGAGGCCAACGTTTCATACTTCCCTACCAAGTCTGACCAGGCTTGGCAACTTTGCGAGAAACTCAAAACCGTGTCCCAACAGAACCACTGTGCTGGTGCCATCAGAGGGGAGGGGAGCGGAGCCGGTGTGCTGAGCTGGTGGGTCCCAAGAGCACCTTTCGCTGTCTTCCTTGCCAAAGCTATGCAAGCATTTTTTTTTTTAGTGATTATAACAAATATATTGCAAATCATTCCCTAGATACACAGATGGGCAAGCAAGGAAGCAAGGTTTCCTTAAGACACAGGGGATTTTCTTGAGGTGGGAAACAGGAAGTAGTTCCCTCAGTCTTCACTCCTGAGGGAGTGTCAGGGCCTCACAGTCCTCTTGAATTAGCGGCTAGCTGGCTAGCTTCAACTTCCCTTGGCTCCTCCCATCCTATGCTTAATAAAAGAACATGCTTGACTATGATCGCCTGAAGTGTGGATCATTTGTTTGAATGTTCATCTCAGTCATTTTTGTTCTGTTTTGTTTTTGTTTGTTTTCATTTTTTTTTTAGAAAAGAAATCTAGAGGAAAAATAAAGCGCTTCTTGTGGACGCCGGGAAAAACACCATTCTTGGTTCTTCTCTGAGTGTGGGTTTAGTTTTTGTGCTTTGTGGGCCGAGTTGTCTCACGGGATAAGCATGCCAGCATCGTATTTTCTGTGAGAGAAAGAGAGAGAAGAAAAGTGAGTGTCCTGTGATGTTACCATGGTTGCATTCACTCCCGATACTTACAAATGGTTGTCTCCGTCTTCAAGGAATTGTTCCCGGGACCCTTGAGAACACTCACCCTCTCCACTAACATCATGGTCTCCCAGCAAGGGAACATGGAGACGACTTTTCAGTTAGTTAATAAGCTCCTGTGTCCTATGGTTCATTAACCTGTATGAGAATCCTGAGTGGTGAATCCTGAAACTCAAAGTTTATGGTCACTAAGATGCAGAAGAGTCCCGGTGACATGGAAGAGAGACTCTGGCATTAAAGAAGAAGAAGCTGAGGGTGGCTGTGTACATATTTCACTGTCCCTCTTCCTGGGATGACAGCTTCAAGCCAGCCATTAGACAAGGTTTCTGGGCCTCTGCCTCTAGGTGGGTCGAGTCAAATACCATTGTTTTTCAGTTACTCACAGCCTGGCTGCAGCCTTTCATGCCAGCTAAGATAACCCAAAGGAAGGGAAACTCCACACTTAAAACTACAACGAATAATATATGAGTCTGTGATTTTAAGCTACCGAATCTCGGGATTATTTGTTACACAGCAAGAGCTAGCTGACAGTTTTCATTTTGTGGAGTGATAAACATTTCCCCCTGGCTGTTCTCTTTTAGCTTGAACCCCAGCTGCCTTGCCCATCCCACGTTCTAGCATTTTCTCCCTTTCCTGTAGAGCACCATCTGTACAGTGTCCCTCACACATGCCAAACACACCTTCAGTTCAGGTACTTGCTATCTACGGCTCCCTCTGTGGAAATGCTTTCCCCACATAAAAGTTTGTTTCTCAGTGACTTCTGGTCTCTGCTCAAATGTCACCTGTTTCAGATAAGGTAGCATGTCTGTCCATGTCATTCACGGTATTGCCCCAATGATCCTCCCTTACCTTTAATGCTCCTCCTTTTAAATACTAGATAGCACTGGACACATCGTGAGTTACCATTTTTCTACCCCCATAGTAGAAGCTTCATGAAAGTTGTATTTCATATTGTATATCTGCTCAGTCAGATAAGGGTCTCCTTTTGTTTGCTCAAGGGATGAAATTTAGGCTCAGAGAGCAGCTTCTCTATAGCCTATGTCTGGAAGGCAACCCTTTCTACCTTCAAGCCCATGTGCCTTCCACAACACACCCCTCTTCGGGAGCTTGCTGGTGACCAGCAGTGCATACACACTGAATTCATGCAAGGGGTGAGCTCCCAACAAAGGGAAAACCAGCTTTCTACCTAGGGCAGAGATGTGGCTGTCCTGCTGAGACCAGTGCCTGCTATAAGCTTTACAAAGGGCTTTCAAACCTTCAACTGACCCAGCAATACGGGCTTCTGGTCTACCCAAATAATCTCCTCCCCCTCACTCTTTTCCAGCTATAAATAAGTCCATACCCAGCCTGGGCTTAGCCGTGGGTGGACGTCATGTCCAGCATTCTAATGGAAGCCATATAGATTACATCCAACTTAAAAAGAATGAGTCGACTTCTCCGTGGTCATTTTCTGCCGAGTTCTTCTCTGTCCCTGTTTCTTTAAGTCCGAAGATGCCTGGCTCCACTTCCATGCCCGATTAAGACCTTGTGCCGCTTATCAATAGGAAAGGACTGAAGCAATGGTCCTGCGGCTTGCGGCTTTGCTCTTTTAGAATGAGGAGGTGGACATTTTTGTTTTGCACCTCAATGAAGGAAGAGGCCTGATTGCTTTTATCAAGGTCAGTGCTCAGCCAGAAAGCCTCAAATTGCAAAGTTCTTGCCAGATCTCACCACTAATACTCATCACTTCCGTAAGTGCGTGTCGAAGAGACAGACAAAAACCGGAAACCTAGAAGAGCAATACCTACGTGCCCTGTACCGTGACTCTGTACCTCCTGACACAGCCCACTTAGTGCTGAAATCACTTCAGAATACTGAGTAAGGTCATTAAATATGATCCCTATGATCATTGAAGAAGTTGAACTGAATTGCTGAATCCGAGAACCGAAGCACCAACAGAGATAACTCTTTAGAGAAAGGAAGCCGAGTAATATTGCTAAATTTAAATACAGATTAGGTCGTCTTTCAGTATTACCTCTCGAGTCTTTGCTTTTGGCTCAAGCATTTGATTTGTGTACCCTTGCTCTAATTCCTTCCCCCACAAAAAACCATCTTATTTTTCAAATATTTCCCTGACTTTACTAGCTGCCTATTATCATCATAGACTCATGTTTCTACTATGGGACATTAGGTAGCTTCTAGTTTGTACTGTTAGAACCAGTGTCTCGTTAGCATCTCTAAATGTCTAGACTTTTCCTTTTAAGAATTTATTTCTCAATGAGGCAATGGTGACACATGCCTTCAATCCTAGCACTTGGGAGGCAGAGGCAGGCAGATCTCCGTGAGTTCGAAGCCAGCCTGGTCTACAGAGTGAGTTCCAGGACAGCTGAGGGTACACAGAGAAATTCTGTCTCAACAAGCAAAGGCCTGGCATTGGTTTGCAGAGGTCCCAGAAACTCTTACAGGACTGGTATGTTTCATGGATGTTGTGCTTCCCAGAGGCATGTGTGTGTCTTCTCACAGCCCTGTCAATGCTAAGTGTACTATTTATTGTTTCAAACTTATTCCAACATCATCTTGTCACAAGCAATGTCTACTTATGCATAATATTCCCTAGGAGCCAGCCTAAGCATCGCTCCTTCATTTTCCCACTGGGGAGAGTTCCCAATTTTAATTAGCATGGAAATCCAGAGTGTGAGCAGAGAGAGAGGGCTGGGTGGGAGAAGAGCAGTCTAGTCGAGGTGTCTAATCTTTACCACTGTGTTCAATTGAAGAGCATCCTGTTTCCTTTCCTTTCCAATCACCGCTGCCGCAGGGCACTGACCTCATCTGAATCTGGTACCCAGGCCAAAACAAATGCTCCAAATGTCTTTGGTTAGCTCTCATTGGCTCCTGTGCTACGAACACTAGCTGGGAGTTCCCAGAAGGCCACATCTTGGTAGCTGACACACTTTCTACATTTATTAAATGTTATGTATGCTACATCAATCGTAGAGGTGGTCTATTTTCTCACTGTTGAATTTCCCGGGCCATCTCCCACTGCATCTTAGAGCGAGGGAGCAAAGCTACTTTGAGTGGCTGAGATAGGAATATGCAAAGAGTGACTTCATCACTCATTTGAGCATCCTCTTGTCCCTCCTCCATCACCCCTCTCTTGCCTTGTTTTCTCTTTCTAGGCATCTATAAAACTTTTAAAAAGATTTTGTAAGACTTTACTCAAAGCCGGGCAGTGGTGGCTCACACCTTTAATCCCAGCACTTGGAATACAGAAGCAGACGGATCTCTGTGAGTTCGAGGCCAGCCTAGTCTACAAAGTAAGTTTCAGGACAGCCAGGACCGTCACACAGAGAAACTTTGTCCTGAAAAACAAAAACAAAAACAAAACAATCAAACAAAAAAAGACTTTACCCGAGGGGCTAGGGAAATGGTTCAGCAGGTCAGAGTGTTGCTGCACAAACATCAGGACCTGAGTTCAAATCTCAAGATGTAGGCAAAGTAACTACAAGTAGCTATGAATCCCAAGTGCTGTTGGCTGCCGAGGTAGAGGATTGTTAGGGCTTGCTGTCTGCCAACGTAGGCCAGGTTCAGCGGCATACTCTGTCTCAAGGAAGTGACGGAGCAGTGACCAATCAGGACACCCAACCTTTTCTCCTGGCCAACCTGTGCACTCTTGGCTGTACATGTGTGTGCATACAGCCAACACACACAGTTCACACACACAGGTTATAAAAAAGGATTTGTCTGTGTTCTCTCCTTTAAACCCTTTGAATGTGATTTATGCAGTTGTTTGATTTAAGAAGTCCTACTGAAAGAGCATTGATCTTAGAACTGATTGCTGAACCATTTGTCTCTTAAGCAACATGCGTTGCCTTGATGAGAGAACTCAACTTTATGCTTAGCCTTTTAGCTTGGGGGGAAACTCAGCAAAAACATACACGACCACTCTTGTCTCGTGATGACCAGTGGAAACATTCTGATGTATTTTCTTCTGTTTTAAACTGCATTTTAAAATTTATTTGGGTCTTGCTTCTTCCATAATTGATGTATTTTCAAATAAATAAATTCATTTCATATCTTCCAATGCCTTTGTGATCATATATTCAGTAGATAGATAGATAGATAGATAGATAGATAGATAGATAGACCTTACTTCATGGTTTTGCTGTTGTTATTGGTGGTCAGATTCTTTCCCATTGTGGTTTTGTTTTATAGAAGGATTGGGTAAGTACCAAGGAGGCTGCAAGTTTCAAATAATATAGAATATTTTCTGATTCTCAGTAGTATGAGAGACTTGTCTCGAAATGCCCACATCGCTGGTCTTTACCTCTACTATGTGTTAACAGAGAGCGGAGGAGAGGGGGAATCGCAGGTGTTTTTCCACTCAGGAAGACTAGCTCTTGATTGGTTTATTTTCCTCAGTTGAACAAGTTCCTGAGTGTGGAGTGCCCCTTCCACCTGGAACCCAGGCAGAGAAGCCCCGGAACTCTGTATCAGCAAAATAAAAATGGCTGAATGCAGAAAACAGAAAGGCGACAGCTGAAGTTTGGGTCAGCGGACCTGACGGCCTCTGCCTGGTGCTCGCTGTTCTGCTGGGTAAGAAGCCCTGGGGGAAGAAGTCCACAGACTTTCCTGGCGGCACCAGAACGTGGTTGGGAGTCTGCCTGGTGTGCTGAGACAGCCCCCCTGCCCCCACCCTGGCAGGCTTTAGATTCAGTTCTGAGGACTTCTCCCTGGGCTGGCCTAGATTCCGCGGCCTATACATTGAAGTGATTGGCCTTTTGCTACCTTTCATGGCGGCCTTCAGATTCTTTTCCTGAAGGGAGGCTAGGCAGAGCTGCCCCAGGTAAGCACCTAAACTATTCAGATGTCTCGCCCTGCTTGCTGTCAAGAAGTCTCTACCACAGAAGCATCAGTATAGGATAGCAGGGTTACATTCA